TTGCTTGAAATTATATACGGGAAAAGTGATTTCTATAACGTTTTTTTCAGTGTTGGGGATCAAACCTAAGGCCTCATGCAAGCACTCTACCACCAAGTCATAACCCTGCTCTAGAATACTGAATCATGAAAGGGTTTGGAATAATTCTATACAAAGTGGTTCAAAGTATGAGATGCTTAAAAATAAAAAAGGCCTGAGCTACAGTGAGCTCAAGGCCAGCTTGCACTACATAGCGAGACCCTGTCTTGAAAAAAGGCAAAACAGTACTTAACAGAAGAGATATTACCATTATTTTAGCTAGAAGTAAATTCACATGTGCTAACATGAAACTGTTTTTCCAGAAACTCAGATATCTTTAGAAATATTTACATAAATCATGCTTTTCCTGCAACACTGTAGGTTACTTTGAGTCTGAACCTCAAAATAAACTTTACCAAATCCCCTGTAGTCTAACTGGACCAAACCATCCCCTTTGGGCCCAGGGAGCTCACTCACCCTGTGTACCAGGCCTGCAGAAGCGGTCTGAGGGTTGGCCTGAGGAGGCAGAGCGCCACACCTGCCAAGGAACCCGCGAAGAACTGCAATACAACCTGTTCTCTTGATTTATGAACCAGGAAACTGGCATCAATTTGACTTTCTTTTGCCTCTTCTAGGGTAAACAGTAACTTAAACTATATTAACAAAGTACCTTAAAAGGCTTAGCAACCAGCTGGACACAAGAGATGAGGGAGGAGGTGAGGGAGATCTGGCTGCAACATCTGTCACACCACTGACCGCCAGGGCTAACTTGGCTGCTCTGGCTGGCTAGGTGAGTGTCCCCTTCCTTCCTCAATGCTCTGAGTGCGTCCCTTCGCAAGCTGTGTGCTCAGTCGAAGAGGACAACCATCCCCAATAGAGGAAGAGCAGTCCTCGGTCAAGGGTATATGAGTAGCTGCGTTCCCCTGCTAGAACGTCCAAACAAACTCTCAAAGAGGTGAAGGAGAGGGACAATTAAAATGGGTTCTACCTTTCTCTCCAAGGCAAATGCATACACTGGAAAAAGAGAAGACTGGGGAGTAGGTGAGACACTATAGGGTTTGGGATGCCCTACGTTCAGATCCTTTAGGGCACCAAGGTAGAGTGGTTAGGGAGGGAGTTTAAGATAAAATTCTCAAGTTTGAGTGAATTGTGGAACTGGAAATGTAAGTTCAGAAGGCATCCCCATGTTATAGGTAAAGTCGCAGGCGTGGACCGGAACTCTTATGGTTCAAATGGCTGTCGCAGTGGTTATAAACTTTGGTTTTTCCAAAGAAGCATATTTTCAAAGTTCTCTGGCAGAAAGTTGTGATACAGTACTGTGTCTAGCTACTCAGGTGCAGTCTCCACCCCAACCTCCAGGACCTGGGTGACAGGGTGGGGGACTTGGGGCACACCAGTGTGTGAAGCGTTGTTGCACAGTTCCCAGACTGGTTCACAAAGTGGTCACAAGTTTTCAGTGAATGAGAAGAAGAAAAACGCAAACATCTACAAGCATAGACTTATTCAATCTGAAAATTATTATTTTTCCTGGTGTGTATTTCCTTTGTTGACACTGTTAACATGTCTTGTCATTTGTGAAAGCAAGGTGATGGTACTTTAGTGATTTTTTTCTGACAAGTTATTTTATACTTCATTGGCAGCAGGTGACTTAACCCTACTTTTCCTACCTGGCATATCCTCCTCACTTTCAAGCCTAAATTTCTTCAAGAATCATGTTTCTATTGCCAACCCCTTTGGATTAGTTCCCTAGGGTGCCACCACAAAGAAACACAAATGGGGTGGCTGGGAGCAGAAGTGTGCTGTCTTACAGTTCTATTGGTTGGAAGTCTGAAATCGAGGCTGGGCAGCATCATGCTCTGAAGCTCCTGGGAAGGGCCCTCCCTGTCTGTCTCTTCCTATTGCTGGTGGCTGCCAGTCATTCTCAGGCTTCTCAGCTGGTAGCTGTGTTATTCTAATCTCAGCCTCCATCATCACAACCCATTATCCTTGCATGTGTCTGTGTTTGAGTTTCCTTCATCTCCTGAGGACACCAGTCATTGATTTAGGGCCTGCCCTAATCTAGTATGACTTCATGCAAGCTAATAGCATCTGCAAAGACCCTAATTTCAAAATGCTGTCACATTCACAGATACAAACGGGGTTAGGACTTGAACATAATTTTTAGAGGACACAATTCAACCTGAACACGTTACAAGGATAGTACATATTTAAAAGAAAATACCCTGATAACTCTCAAAATTGTATGGCAAATACCAAAATACTTGCTTTTTTTCAAAATGAAGTGCAAATCAAAATTCTGAGAGTATACCATAATAAAAATGAGCACAACATCAGCAATTTGAGTGGTGCTCCTCTGTTTCCCAAATCATTCCCAACTGCATAAACTCTAACATGTCATGATTTGTCTTTGCTATTTTTCCCTCACTGTCAAACTTTCTCAGCTCTTCGATTTTTAAAAGAATAGTTTAGCTCCTTCCTGCATGTCACTGCTTGGTGTCAGGAGCTACCTGAGGATAGCTGCTGATCCCCTAGGCCTCAGGTTGCTGAGGTGCAGCTCCTCAGGAGGCCAGGCAGGCTGACCCAAGAGGTTGGGAGAACATGCGACTCTCGCGGCATCTGGGGAACCTCATTTCAGGTGAGTGACATTCAGACCCAGGATTTCAACATGAAGACAACAGTATCTGTTTAACATTCTAATTTTGTATTATATTATAAAATCTGGATTATATTATAAAGTACTGTTTCTAGGTGGTTAGTGGCTTCAGAGCACAAGTATGTGGAGCACTGCCAGCCCGTGGATGGTGGCACAGGCCAGTGAGCAGTGGACTTGGCTCACCAGCAGCACATCGAAGGCACTGGCTGGTATTCTCCATCACATCCCGTCATGTGAGACCGGGGTACAAAGGAACCTCAAGGTTAGGCAAACAGTCCTTCACAGCTAAGAGAATGCCTGGAGGGAGGAGCCCTGATTGTGTTGTTCTGGGGAACAATGCTGTGCAAATACAGCCAATGATAAGTGAAGGTAGACGGCTTAGGCTTAGGCCTTCGTTTTGGGTGACTTTTTTTACTTCGGGTTAGCAACTTCAACAGCCACACTTGCTCTATGTTTATTTATTTATTTACTTTATTTTAGCTTTTAGTTTTTAAAAGTTCCTCTGCTGGAAGAAAGAATTAAGTTCCAATAGTAAAAGTAAAAACATATTTGGAAGGTACTGTGAGATAACGCTAACAACCACATCCTTACGACCCAAGTTCCAACAGCTGGTCTGCGATGCTTCAAAGTGCAACTACCTGTGTCTGGGGTGAGATCCAGAAGCCGAGGCAATGCTGTGTTACAGCACAAAAACGGGTCCCCCAGCTCCTCAGTTCTCTTATGTGCACCCCCCGAACCCCCATGCTCCTGGCCTAGGTAAAGGAAAAGCACAGGCTAAGGACAGGCCAGAGAGCCCGTTCTGCTGGTGACATGTACCACTGTGATTCTCCGTAGAACCAGGCCACGAGGAGACTTGGGGGACACCTGGCACTCTAACAACAGGGTCTGAGAAGTCAGCAGCTCCCTGGGGCGAGGTTCCTTAGGCCTCTAGAGGCAGACATCATGCCTCAGCGTCACCAGGAGTCATGGTGTCACAGGAGTCATGGTGATGGCCCAGGCATACTGTATACTCTGCAAGACACCCTTCCCAGTTCCCACCCGCTCGAAGTCTTAGCCTCTCCACAGGCCCTCAGTGGCCTCCTCACCCTGGCCTGGCAGGGCCTGGCTGCAGCCTCCTTTCCCACACACTTGCAGGGACCACATTCCTGCAGAACTCTTGCCTGCATTTTCAATTTTCATCTGTTAAGAGTCACAACTGGAGCAGCACTCTATACCTCATTGGACTGTAAACTCCACAAGGCCAGGGAGGGGTCTGTGATGTTTCTGCAGGGCTCGGAGTCTACCCGTGCACTGGTTGTGACATGTATAGGAGTGCACAGAGCACACGCCCAGGCAGCGGGCAGCCAAGATGGCCTGAGCTCCACACGCTGGACTGCAGCCTCTTTCAGGGAGTATCACACCCCAAGTCCGAGTCTTTGTCTGAGGATACACATCTGAAAGATTGACTAGAGAGGGACTGGCAAATGTCTCTTAACCCTGGTACTATCACACAACGGGGAAAAGAGCAGTACAATACATGCATCGGGAAAGCTTTTATTTATCCAAACAAATACTTGTCCTACACATCCAGTCTGGGTACTGTAGGGGAAACAAAGATAAAAGCAGGTCTTTTTCCAAGGTGCATATGGACATAAAGCAGAGATGTATTTATAAACAGCCATAATGCGACCCAGAAAGGGCTAAAATCAGAGTGTGAGACAGAAAGAGAACACAAAGGTCTCCTGAGCAAGAGATGTGCTCAGCTATCATTTACTCGTTGTGATCCCGGTGCAGTGGAAGGAATTCCAAACCAGGAAAAAGCAAACAAGACCGACCCAGGAGCGCCCTCAAACAGCGGTGGCCTTCCCCCATGCAGACCATTGGATTGAAATCAAATCTCCACACCTGTAACTGGCTTCCCCAACCTTTCGCTATTTAAACTAAACCCAGAAAGAAAAACAACACTAGGATAGAAACGCCGGGTGAAAGCAGTAGGAAACTTAAAAAGCGGGTCACGTCAGCGCTGTGTATGGTCAGGCGGGAAACGGACTACCGACTTCCCGAGATCCAGACACCGCTATATAAAAGACCAGCCGACACCCCAGTCCCCACACTCCTGACGCCCTCATGTCCTGGCCAGACCCCCACGTCCCCAACCACCTAGGTTGATCCTGGTCCCTGACACCCGGAGATCCGGGCTTGTGATACCCCGAGATCTCGACACGCCCGAGGCCCCCACACTCCTGAGATTCCCGAGACCTGACCCCGACCCCCACATCCCGGCGATCATCCGACACCCGCAAGGCCCAGCCTGGCCCGACTCAACCCCGCGCCCGCCCGCCGGCCCTACCGTAGGTCTCGGACATGGCCGTCTGCGACATCCTGCCGCCTCCGCGGGTCTGACCGTCCGGTGGGACCGAGCAGTGGGCCGGGCGTAGACCCAGGGCGAACGCCGGGCCACGGGCTGCGGCCCAGCGGGACTCGGCTCCGCGCACGCGCAGAAAGGGGGCGGGACGGGGGACCGGAGGGGCGGGGGCGGAGCCCGGGTCCGCAGCCCCGAAGCGGCGGCCCTTGAGTGGGCTGGGGCCAGGCGCCGAGGCCTGGAGGCCTGGAGGCCTGGAGGCCGAGAGAGGCCGGGCGACTTCATCGGGACCGTCTCTCTGCCGGACGGACGCGGTCAGCCTCAGCGGACCCCAGCTAGGGCCAGCTGCCCGCAGGGTCGGGTCGCTGCCGCGGTTGGCGGAGCCGCACCGGCGCTGCCCCTGTCCTGCAGCCCCGCGCTCGACCGCAGCCCCGCGGGCCTCCCACCGCGGCGGCCGGTGGAGTCCGCACGCCGCAGGACTGTGGGGAGCTGCGGTTCTGGGGGCAGCGCCTAATCCGGGGGGCGAGGCTCAAGGTCCGGAATCTGGATGTTTTGGTTCTAGGAACCAGGCAGTTCAAAATCGCCTTCCTATGGAAACACAGAGGTAAACATTTATTGGAAATTGAATTTTGGTTGGGAGCTTGGTCCATCTGGGCGTGACCAGAGCCACATCAAGACCAGACCTTAATAGCATCCTAAAAACATCCTGGGCTAAGGCCCCAGGCCCTTGCTGTGTAGCGAAGACCTGCACTTGCCTCTTCCCCAAGTCCATTAGGCTCCACCCACAGAAGCTGCTTCGGACTTCGCTGTCCCCAGGGCCATTGGCTCCACCTTTCACTCTTCCTTTTGAGCCTCATAGCAAATAGATGTTTTTGCTTCTAAGTCACAGAACAGGGCCTGTGCTCTCTGTGCAGACGGTGTAATTTCCTACAGTTATTTTGTATCCAAATATCCCTCTGTGACTCATATAGTTTGTTACTTTCTAGTGGGGTCACATGAGGACCTGTCTATTCTTTAGATCTAACGTTCTTTCCTGCCACAAGCTCCTGTGCACCAGGAAGAATCCGTGGTGGGGATAGTTCGTTACTGACAGGAACTGGACCCAGAGCTCCCTGGAACCTACATGGGTGGTAGAAGTTAACATGTTGTCATTTCAAAGTTGCAAGCAGTTTTCTGTTTGGGGAGAAATGAAGACTTAGGCCTTTCAGAGAGACTGTTTTGAAAACAAAACAAAAAAACTCGAAACGAATCCCCCCCAAACAAAAACAAAAACACAACCCAGAGAAATCTTCTAGTTCACAGAGGTAAAGTCATCGACCCACCTAGAATAGGTAACATGTGTGAGGAGGCATCTGAAGGAGTCAGACTTCTTGGATGTCATGTGAAAGAGTCTGCATCTCAGTAACTTGGTCTGTGAAAAAATGCATTTCACCTAGATATTCCTGGAGACTGCTGTGATTCTGAGGGCTGCTGATCATGAAGAAGAAAATGTGTTGTAAAATTAATACTTTTTTCACTAATTAGCTCCTTTCTCTTTCGAGGAAGGTTGTGAGGGAATGAAAGCAGATATCCCAAAGCCTAGGGTTGTTGGAGGTTTGTCTAAGGGAAATGAAGGGTGATGGAAGGCCACAAAGAGGTGCATGATGCTCCGCTGTCTGCTGGGGGCAGCACTCTGTTAATTCAAGGTTTCCATTTGAGTTGGGCAAAAGAACCCAAAGCTGATTGGTAACAGACTTGTGTCTGGCACTTGGGGAGTCAGAAAATGCCTGGCAGCTGCTGAGAGAAGGCGACGGTTCTGTGGAAACTTCACGATGTGAGCTCAGTGGGCACCCAGGCGGTGGGGCCTGTGACAGGAGTTCCTGTCTTCAAGTTGGAAGAGACCTCAGAGGCTGCCACTTTGTCTGCTGCTGCCGAACACCGTGTGAGGGACTGTTCAGTCAAGAAAGGCTGGGTGAGCTACAGGAATGGAGCTGTCCTGGCACACTTGTGACTAACACATTTCATGAGCCTTCCTGCCTCTCTGGGCAGGGAGATGTGGCTTATCAAGGGCCTCAGGGACCCAGGCTGGGCAGGTTTGTCTGAACACATCTCCCAGGACTTCTCAGGCAGGAGAAGGAAACGGCAGGTGGTACTTCAGTGGGGGAAAGATCCTTTAGGAACTGAGGAATTGCTATATTGTGTTTCATGGTGGAGCACGTCAGAGGCCACAGCCTATTTCAAAGGAAAAGAGAAGAGCATATGTGAGCAGAGCCATTCATCAATCCCCTGCTGAGGCCCTGCCTGCTCTGCCCCTTCCTTCCTTCCTTCCTTCCTTCCTTCCTTCCTTCCTTCCTTCCTTCCTTCCTTCCTTCCTTCCTTCCTTCCTTCCGTCCTTCGATCTCTTTTGGTGCAGTACTAGGGATTGAACCCAGTGCCTTTACACTCAGTTACAACCCCCTGCCCCTAGCCATTTTTTGTCGGTTATATGTTGGTTTCTGTGTGGGGTGACAGGTCCCGAGAACGAGTTGTAGTGGATGAAAAGAAAAACAAGAGAGACAAAGTTATGGGATCAGTCCTACAGCCCCTAGGACTGAAGCCTCGATTACAGGAACAGGGGAAATGGGGAATGAACAGGGGAAATCACTGACAGGATTAGCAAGGGCAGTGCAGCTTAATTTTCACAGGAACTGAACTTTGACTTATGTTATCATTCCTTGGGAAATATCTCAGCAAAGCATCTAGTGTTGTCCCAGTGGCTTTCCACAGGGACTAAGGTCCTGCTTTCATATCGTTTTGCATTAATGCTTTTGCTAGACTTCCCCCAAAAACAAACAATCATATGGCTTGGTTAGGCTCAAAGTCCCACATAGGTAATACATTGAAAGATAAACTATAAAATGTCCTTCTCCTAATTCCCTCTTTGTTTTGCTGCAGTCCTTTGAAGTACTAATGAGAAGATTGTCATTTGTCTTCTGTTTTCTGGATGAGCGTGGGCAAACTACAAAAAGGATCAAGCAAAGAACTATTGTAATACCATAAAAAATGACCATAGAGGTTTGGAAAAATTGTAATTGTTTTAAAGGACTTAAATGTTTTATTTTTTTTATCTATAGCTTATAACAACTCAGTTCTTTCCCCATGTTGCAATTCTAGTTTGTTATTAAATGTCCCAAATATTTCTTTCTGTAAATTTCCAATCTCAAAAGATAAATTTCCTTGACTCAATAAATGTTTTTTGACATTCTCCCAAGGGAAAAGTATATTATTATAGCGATGAGGAGTCACACAAAAAGAAGAGCTATTCCAATTACATTTAATCCGTAACTTTTTGTAAACTAATTGATCTCCCAACAATACCACTGCTTGTTGCAAGTCTACTTGAGGCGCCAATTTTTCATCTGTAGAATGTTGAGTTTGCCATAATCTATCAGAATATTCATGCCAGCTTTGCACAAATTGAGTCGTTTGCACTGACTGATGAAGGGCTGCCCCAGCTACTGCTGCAGTAGCTGTAATGCTAATAATTCCTAATACCGCTGCACTCAGGATCCCTGGAAATCTCTTGCTACATTTTATTAATTTATCTATAAAATTTTGCAACATGTAAGCAGTTGGGGTTTGCTACTATGGTCTTTCTAAATTAACAGGTATAAGGGGCTGGGGATTTAGCTCAGCGGCAAAAGCACCTGCCCGGCAAGCGCAAGGTCATGAGTTTGGTTCCTGGTACTGGAGAAAAACAAAAAACAAAACAAAACAAAATAAATTAACAGGTATCCAGATTCCTGTTTTTTGTTTA